TGTTATAGAATCTTCATGGACTTTCGGAAGCGAAATCAGCAATGCTATTTAATGAACAGGATTTGAATGATCGAATGAAAGAGATGGCGAGCTTGGAAAGATCTTTAAAAGCCCAAGAAAGTGACCTTGATAAGATCAGGGAAAGCTTAAGAGGTATGTTAATCGATTATTTAATCTAATTATGTGAATACCTTTTTTATGTTGTAACTGGATTTAATCTTAAATATAGGCAAGTCGGAAGTTTATTCAAACCAAATTGAAGAAAAGCAAAGAGAACTTGCACATTTGTCAGAGAAAATTATTGCAAAGCAATCACTTATTTGTGTCAAACAATCTGAGTTTAATATTTTAAAAGAGAAAGTTGATTCAATAAAACAAGATCATAAAAAAGCTGAAGAATATGCTTTCACGCTTAGAGAATCATGTCGGAAGAAGGTATTATTTTAAGGATCACTTTTTTTGATTATTTAATTTGCTTACTAATAATCTTTTCTACAAAGAATCAAATTAAAGACACGAAACTAGAAATTGAACAATTGGAGTCTGATTTAAAGGTTATTATTTATTGTTTAAATTAATTTATAAGTATTTTAAGATTCTCATAAAATGTCTTTTATTACTTTTAGCATTACCTTACTCAGAAAGAACATCTCAAGTCTAGTCTTGCTGATTCTCGACAACAAGAAGACGAGGCGAAAAAAATTTTTGAATCTTCTCAGTCTAGAGGAACAGTTCTTAGTAGCCTGATTGAGCTTAAAGATAATGATCGTATAAAAGGATTATATGTAAGTTCGTCGGAGCAGAGCGTTTCTATAATTTGTTTTGCTGTAATATCTTTTTATTTATTTAAATTTTTAATCAGGATCGTTTGGGTAACCTTGGTATCATTGATGATAAATACGATGTCGCGATCACAACTGCCTGCCCCGCATTGGACAACATCGTTGTCGATTCTGTTGAAGTTGGACAAACTTGTATCGATTACCTTAGAAGTAATGATATAGGTCGCGCCACGTTTATAACTTTAGACGAGCTGCCGACAATGGACATGCGCCCGATAAAAACGCCCGAAAATGTTCCTCGTCTTTTTGATCTTATTAAGCCGAAGGAAAATAACTTTATCCCAGCATTTTATAGTGTGTTGGGTAATACTTTGGTGGCCCAAGATCTGAAACAGGCGAATAGGATCGCCTTCGGCGAACCACGGTGGCGCGTGGTGACGTTAGTTGGCCAAGTCCTCGAAAAATCGGGCGCGATGAGTGGCGGTGGGAATTTAAGATCTAAAAGCGCTATGAGCTCGCGAATTGTAACATCCGAGACCATGGCGAAATTGGAAAAAGACCGTGTCCACATAACAACGCAATGGCAGAGATTTCAACAGAACCTTGGATCGTTAGAATCCCAAATTCAATATAAAAAGGAAGAAATTCGTAAATTGGAGTTTGATATATTGAAGTTGGAGATGGATGCTAACTCTTATGCACAGCGTAGTAAGAAAAAAGCATCCGAGTTACGGTATGAATAGAATTGTATTTTCCCAATAAATTCTTGGTAAGGTTTAATATTAATCATTGATTTTAATTTTTCCTATAAGGCAACAAAATGATCCAAGTTTAGATGATACCAAGAATATGGCTAGACTAAAAATACAAATCGATCATCTAACTCAAGAGTTAGATGGATTGAAAAGACAACCCTCCAAAATCGAAGAGGAGATTAAGATTTTGCAAATGAAGATTTTGGAAATTGGGAAAGATAAACTTCGAGTTCAAAAGTCTAAAATAGATCATGTTAAAGATCAACTCATTTTAATAAATGAACGAATTACCAAGTCGCAAGTGGCCAAATCAAGGGCGGACAAAGATATAACGAAATTCGAAAATTCTCTAGCAAAAAGTGAAATAGAATTGGAAGGATTGAATAATGAGATAGAGAAGCTTACAAAAGAAATTCAACACAACGCGCAAGTTGCTCGTTCCATTCGTATTAAAGCCGATGAAGCCAAATCGGTATTTATTCAGACTAATGTTTAATTATATCTGTTTTTTTTTTAAAAAAAATATATATTATATATATAAATACTTATTTACATTTTTCAAATAATTAGATTTTGGAAAGTAAAAAAGAAGAATTGGATGAGATCAAGGAAAAACTTGATGAAAAAACCGAAATAATTAATCGGAATCGAGTAATCGAGGTTTATATTCATATTTATTCTTATTCTCTCAACGCTAAGTTAAATTTTTTTTTTTTTTATTAACCAATCGCACTGTATTTTATTAGTTAAAAATCAAAAACCAACTTGAAGATTGTGAACGCAATTTGGCAGAAAATAAACAGAAAGAAACTCATTGGCGAAAATCTATTGGCAAACTTACACTTCATGAGATTGGGTAAGCATGATGATGATATTTTTAAAATATTCATTCTACCATACATCTAATTAGCCTTATAAATAGTGGTGATGAGGAGCAAGAGTTTCAAATTTATACCGATGATGAGCTCGATGCTATGAACATGAATACATTACAAGCAGAGATTGATGGTCTTAAAGGTATTCTAATTTATCTTTTTTATATTTCACTTAATTCTTGATCTATAATATTTTTTTTTTTTTTAAAAAAATTCCTTCAGAGAAAATACAAAATGCCAATCCAAATATAAGTGTTTTGAAAGAATATCATATTCGTGAGAAAGAGTATTTGTCACGTGCTAATGATCTTGAAGAGATTACTTCTAAACGTGATGAATATAAAGAGGAATACGATCGTTTAAGAAAGCAACGATTGGAAGAATTCATGCGTGGGTTCACTTTAATCTCTCAGAAACTCAAAGAAATGTATCAGGTATCTAAATGGCACTTTTTATCTCAACATATGTTACATAAAATATAAACAATTGTTTTTAGATGATTACTCCCGGAGGAAATGCCGAGCTTGAATTTTACGACAGCTTTGATCCTTTTTCTGAAGGAATTATTTTTAGTGTTATGCCGCCGAGAAAGAGCTGGAAAAATATTTCGAATTTATCTGGTGGAGAAAAGGTATTCGTTGTTTCCAATGTTCATTTTCATTTTAATTATACTTGACATGTAATGAATATTTATTTATCAAAATACAGACAATTAGTTCTTTGGCTTTGGTATTTGCTCTACACCATTTCAAACCTACACCCATATACGTCATGGATGAGATCGATGCGGCCTTGGATTTCCGCAATGTGTCAATCGTCGCTAATTATATTAAAGAGCGCACGCAAGATGCGCAGTTCATAGTAATCAGTTTACGGAATAACTTATTCGAATCGTCAGATCGTTTAGTGGGAATTTACAAAACCGATGATCAGGTAAGATTCTTATGCACAAAATAATATTTTCATGAAATTTTATTAATTTTTTATGAATTATGTTAATTTAGACAAAATCCGTTACTATTGATTCGCATAAAATTTTTGAAAAATGAGTTTTTTTTTTTTTTTTGAGTTATTAAACTGTCTATTAAAAGTATTACGTCAATTAATAAGAAAAAATTATATTGGTTGAAGAAAGTATTTCATATTAATTTCACTTGAACATAAACACAAACTGTCCAATTTTGTTCTGAATATAAGTATACACTTTTAATTTTTATTTTTGTAAAACCATTATGATAATGTGTTATACAGTATGTCAAATTGGTTTCTAAATAAATAAATGGGTTTGTGCACATTTTGCATATAATCAAAGTCATTTCTTTTTATATAAACATTTAATTAATGCTGTTGAAAAAGCAGATGCAATTATTTTATATTAAAGATATAAAGAAATAGAAATTACATTCTATAAAATTAGATTCTATAATTATTCTATTAAATTAAGATTCATTTATTGAAGATAAAAAAACTTATATTATTGAAAGAATAAAAAATGAAATTTTCATTAATTTTAGTTTTTAAGCTAATTTTAAGTATATGATTGTGATCAGTTATGTGTTTCTCTTTTCTATTAACTAGCTCTATATATAAAACAATTTGATTTCTTAGAAAGAAAAACAATATAGCTCAAATTATCATTAAAGATTTTCAAATTATCAAGGAATTTAATGTTTTTCTTTTTGACTTACCATCGAATTATGATGTCTATGAAAAAATCAGATAATATACAGAAGTTTTTAAATACAACCAAAATTTTCTTCATACATTTTATTATTCTATTACTTGATTAACTAACATCTTTATAGGTCATATAAAAAATAATTTTTAATAGTCTACTTCTAAAATAATAAAGATTTGGTTTTTTGATTTTTATTGATAAAATTAATATTTTCAAAAATATTATAAAACATGTACTCAATTAAATTTATTTTATTATTATAATAGTCTTAATAAAGAATTGTTTTATGAATATAAAAAAATAGGTAATAATATATAAATAGAAACCAATTATATATAAAAAAAGAAAACTAATTTAACTTTCAAATCTTAATTATAAAATGCTTAACGTCAATTATCTTATATTTGATCTATTACTTTGTGAAAAAATTATTAATTCTAAAATTTCCATAAAATAAGCAACACTTTTTCAGTATTTTAGTAATAAAAAATTATAATCTAATATATTTAAACTTAGCTTATTTTTAATCTATATATATATCTTTACTTTACTATTTAACTTTTAACTAATAATTAATAATATTAAAAAAAGATTAAAGTTCAAATTAAAAGAGTTCAAGTTAAAAATACAAATTCTATTATTTTTTATTATTAATTTTATAATAGAAAAAATAATAATAAACTTTATAAAATCATTCTTAATACAGATGCTTTAAAAACAATATTACTTTATAAAATCTATACATACTTGAGAATAGTTAAATAAATAAAATATATAGTCATTACATTTGAATATAAATTATTTGTTAAATTGCTTTTAGCTCTTAAACTGTTTAAAATATCTATTAGGATAATAATAATTAGAACAATTAAATTTAGATCAATATACTTTAAATATTATAATAAGATTCTAATGATAAAAATAATTCTTCTCTGATTGGTAATAATATATTAAATCAATTAACTTATGTTTATCAAAAGGAAGAAGTACTTTTATTTTTTAGTATTTAATATAAAAATTAATTGATAATTTTTTTAAATAACTTATAATCTTAACATATTTAATATAGATTATCCCTTTAAGCATATTGCAGACAAATTTACTTGCAATTTTATTTAATAATTAAAATTATTTATAATATTTTTAAATATTTTTAAAATAATTATTTAAAAATTAATATTTTTATAATAAATTTTATGATGTTTTTTAAGTAAAAATTCAAAAAAAAAAAATGTAATTAATTAGTGATATTTTAAAGATAAATATATGATAAATTATTATGAAAAAAGTTAAAATTTTAAGCTTATATATCTTGCTATTTATTGACATCAGAAATATAAAAATATAATCATTTAATAGATCTTAATAAAATAAATCTAATAAACTAAATTTTATTTAAGTTATTTTAAAAAATTTAAAATTGAAAAATTAATATATATTAATAATTATTAATTTTGAAAATTTAAAAATACTATCATTAGATAGATCTTGATATAATAAATCTAATAAACTTTATTTCATCTTTTTATAATTACTAAAAATTAAAATATTATAAGTCTTTTACAATATTTTATAACCAATGTATACCTACACTTTAAAAAATATTACTTTAAAAGTAAAATAAATGATCTGTTAAATGTTAACCTATATAATGATTTATATAAAATACAAAAAGCTTATTATTTATAACATATAAAAAAACTTTAATTTTAAAATATTTATTATGCTAAATATTATAATATTCTTATCAGACTTTATTTTTTAACTTATATATATTTTATGTAATTACTATTATAATAAATATAAAAAATAAATTACATGTTTTAAATCTCAAAAATAATATTAAAAAGATTTTCTTAAAACAAAATTTTTATTATGTAATTTTTATAAATAAGATAAAACTAAATCGATATTTCATATATAATATATCAATTTCATAATAATATTTTCTTTAAAAAGTTTTTTTATATTATAATAGGCATAATAATATAAATTATATCTATAAAAAGTTTATATTTACAAAATAAAGAGTATATGGGCTCTTTGTAATAGAAAGAGAAGAAACTACCAAAAAATTTTTTTTTAAATAATGTTAAATCTAGATTTATTTTATTAAAAAGATAATATTTAGCTTATAAAGCAAAAAAAATTTTTTAGGTAGTTTCTTTTCTTTCTATTACAAAGAGCCTATATAATGATCATTTAATCTTATTAATTATTATTTATTCCTTTA